AGGAGCAGAGCTAGTCCAGGCACATTCTTCTTCTTCTTCTTCTTTTTTTTTTTTCCATGCTAGACAAGCATTCTACTAACTACACTATACCTCCAATTCTGGTCTGAGGAGATTGTTAATTTATACGTTTGTGTTGCCAGCCCACATAACTTAAGAGAAATTCACAGCCCAAATACATGTGAAGACAAGTTTTTCGTTATAAAAGTTCAGGGGGAAGATCCTTTTTCTTTTCCAACAGAGAATCCACGACAAAACACACAAGTTTCCTTTTATTTTCCTGTGCTAGGGATCAGACTTTTTTTCTAGTTTACCTTCTGTGCACCCACTGAAAGTGTCCTTGCTTTATAATGGTGCATTATGTCCACATCTTACCTCATCTGAGCCCAAAGTTAAGTTGGCCCTCATGAATTGTTCTTTTAGTTCTCTCTGGTCACTGGAAATTACAAGTTCTATATGGTGATATGATTTGCATCATAGTTTTACTTAGCATTATTATTATTTGGTACTGGGGCTGAACCCAGGGACACTTAACCACTCTGCCACATCCCAGCCCTTTTTAGATATTGAATCTAGATACAGGGTCTTGCTAAATTGCTGAGACTGGTTTTAAACTTGAGATCCTCCTGCCTCAGTCTCCTGAGCTGCTGGGATCACAGGTAGGCAACACTGCACTCTGTTTTTACCCAGCATTTCTAGGTGTTTTGATCATATAAAATACACTGTTTAAAAAACATTTAAGTTACCCCGCTGGGGCACAAAGCAAGGTGGTAAAGACCATGGAATAGGCACATCAATTTGAATCCTAAGAGCTCCATTCTGTTTCCTCTTTAGTAAAATGGAGATAAGGTTGATGAGAAGATTATATGAATAAAGGATATAAGATATTTGGTATAACTTGGAGTGGTGGCCCACACCTGTAATCCTGAAAAAAGTGACTAGGAAGGCTGAAGCAGAAAGATTACATATCCAAGGCCAGCCTTGGAAATTTAGTAAGATCTGTGTCAAAATAAAAAAGGGTACAGCTCTTTAGTAGAGCACCCCAGGGTTCAATCCTTGTACCAAAGGGGGAAGAAAAAGATGCTTAGTATAGGACCTGGGATCTTATGAAATACTTAAGAAACTACATCTTGCTTTTTAGTAGTTTCTACAAAATAAAATGGTATTCATGGGACTTATTAGGAGGGTGGTGAATATGCCATAAATCTACTTTTAAAATTATCAAGAACTTGTGATACTTGACTGTGAGGGCTGGGGGTTGTGTCTCAGAGGTAGAGTGCTTGCCTGGCATGTATGAAGCACTGGGTTCAATCCTCAGCACCAAATAAAAAATAATACATAAAATAAATGTATTGTATTCATCTACAACTTAAAAAAGAGACTGTAATAACAGGCCAATTTCCAAAACTTATATATACATACAATTATTGTTAACTATTGGCAGACATAGTATGAAGCTCTGATCACAACTATGAACATATGTTTTTATAAGTTGATGAAATATCAAAATGGCGATATTACCAAAAGTTCTCTATAGGTTTAATGCAAT